TGTGTCCCTTCATCTTGGATTTTTTTTTTTCTTTTTCATTCAGCTCCCATTCTGAATTTACCCCATGCCAAATTAAGGTTGCTTCTGAATAAGAGCTATATTGTAACTATGCTCATTTAGGCATGGACGGTTCTTTGTGGGGGGAGGCAGAAATCAGTGGCTTCCATTTGTCACCCTCTCGTAAAGTTTGCCTACCACTCCTTTGCCCTTTTCTAGAGAAGTTCCATTAAGAAAGAAAAGAATTAACAGGTTAGGGACTTTTGATTAATTCATACTTGACTCACTCCAAGAAATGATTGGAGAAGGACAGTTACTTTCATAGCTTTGACTGTAATTATAAATGTAAAATATTTTGAAACAAGGAAAAAAAGTCCTCCTCTCCAATATTTTCAGAAAAAGACCCAGAATGATTGTATAGAAGCAACTTTGATCAATGTGAAGTTACTTTGCACTCTGCTGACCATTTCACATGGTCTGCAGTGTCTCTTCAGCCACAAGGCATGGTAGTCCAGTAGTGTGTCACAATCAATAGTCACGTATGACCACAGGTATTTGAACTGTGTCGCTTTGCTTAATTTGATACCAAGAGTCTTGAGTATCCCATTGGTCTGGTCACCACATTCAGGTTATACACTCTTAGTATTGACCCTTATTCCTAAAGCAGTTAGACACATTTTCCACCTTTGTCTCAATTGTCCAAGGCTGCTTCATGTTTCACTGTCTATCATGATATCCTCAGCATATAACAGCTGAGTGTTGTGATTATAGGTTTCTGGTTGGTGTCCAAACAGAGAAGAAAGGGCAATGTTGAGAGATGGTCTCTTTGTTGATGGGAAAGATGCTTGAGCATCCAGTAGCACTTCTTACTGAGCTGATAACATTGGGGTACAGTAGTTGAACCCAGCAGAAACATTGTATAATTTAAGTGATAGACAGATGAGCTCATGTGGTCCTTGATCAAATGCTTTTTCTAGGTCAGTGAGTAGCATATGTATGGTTGTTCATTTCTCATGGTGCTTCTCCATCAATAGGCAGGTGGCATGTATTGTGTCAGTTGTTGCACAGTTCTTCATGAAATTGCAGTGGTTTGGTGAAAGGTTGGTGATGTATCAGAAGAATCTAGTATGCATTCAGAAATTGTCAGAAATAGCCAGATCAAATCTGTAGTTTGAGCAGTGACGTACATCGCTTTTGCCTTTCTAGATTGGGAGTGTTGTATTGTTGTGGCAAGTTCATTTTCTTCTACAATTTTGTTGAACACTCTTGTAAGCCATTCTGCTCCCTGTGATTCAGGTAGCTTCCATATTTCAGCTGGGATGTCATTCAGGCCAATTCCTTGGTTGTTTTTCAGCTTGCAGATGGCAAGTGAGACTTCTTCAAACAGCTGCCAGATGGTTCATGAGAGCTGAGCAGTGCATCCCCCAGGTGGCACATGGGGGAGGGACCCCATACTAGAAAGCAGTCTACTGCTATTATGGTCACTGGCGTACCTCCAGATAAGATCCAGGTTTAGCATGCCAAATTAGAAGCTGTAGACCACTGGTAAACATCATCAGGTTCTGCAACAAGCTGGCTGAAGAACAAGCTACTCATTGCATCACTGTGCATGATGCTTACGTCTAAAGCTGAACCACTGAATCTCTTTGGTCTGGTCTACTTTAAGACAGTGTCTTACTCACTCTGAATATACCACTCTAATTATTACTCCAATGCATTGATTGTCCTCTATATCTGTCAGGAATATAGTTATTCTCATGACTTGCGACACAGAAGCAATAATAACTACGGGAAAGCTGCATAGAATTCATTGTGATTTTCATTTCCCATTTTAAACATCAGAGCAGGAATGACCCCAGCTCGACCTACAATGAAGAGAACCTGGCTCAGTGTGTTTTTGATTTCTTTATTGCTGGAACAGACACAACCTTTGCTACTCTGATGTGGGCACTGCTCCTCTTGGCAAATCATCCCCACATCCAAGGTGAGAGAAATCTGGTCAGGGTAACAGGGGTCACTCTCAGGCTCTAAAACACACAGGAATTATTTGAAAGTCTTTAAAATATTAATGGCTATTGAATGATAAACTAACTCTATTCTTCATAATAATTTTCCTATGTGGATTCTTGAACGTATAATGAGGAACATGAGCATAGCAGGATTAAAGGGAAGCAAAGAATGTACATACAGAGACCCTTCTTTGGTATCCCCAATAAAATCTTGAGTGATGAACTAAGAACTGGAAATGAACATTTAACACACTTTAAATGCAGAAATCCACCAATCTTTTCAGATTTGGTACTTGTTTTCAGCTTAAATTATGTGAAGAAATTATTGATTTTTTAAAATAAATCAGACTTCCAAAGTGGCTGTGACTGAATTCTGGAGACTGACTTCTCTGAAGGAGATTCAATGGAATCATTCAACTAAATCAACAATTTGCATCAATATTCTGAATCAGTTTGGACTGGATCAAATCAGAGCCCACGAAACACATTTTAAATCTGCATTCCTTCATGATACTCAAAAGGAGGATGGGAGTACATTTGATGCTCAGAAGGCTATTCTATACCCTAAAGTACTACTGAGGATTAAAACTGGGAAATAAATAAATAGGTGAAATACAATATTGAAAATGAAGCTTCTATTTCCATCATTTTTTTTTCTAGAGAAAGTCCAGAAGGAGATTGAAGATGTGTTTGGCTTCTCGGGGTCAATTTCCTATCAAGATCGGAAGAAACTGCCCTACACCAATGCTGTGATTCATGAAATGCAGCGTATAAAATATGTCATGCTATTTGGGGCTCCCAGGCAAAGTACAAAGGATGTGAAGATGAGGGGTTACCACATCCCAAAGGTAAAGAAATTTGTTCAGGCTGCACTCCAGGAGTCCAGCATGGAAGGAAAACCACCAGGTGGCCCTTGGACAGAGGCTGTCTGCTCAGGAACTGCCAGCGTACTTGTGCAAAACCAAATGCGCAAGAATAGAATACTGTTTGGGGGTGAGTGGGGGGTTATGGGTCTAAATTCAAACACCTACCAGTTTTTAAAGCGGGAACTCTAAATGTTTTACATTTATTCTAGGAAGATGATAAGAAATTAAGGGCTGAACTTAAGTTCAGAATTGTAGTCATGAGTGG